CCTTCTGGATATATGCCCAGGAGCGGGATTCCTGGCTCATATGGTAAGTCTGTTCCTAGTCTTTTGAGGAATCTCCATACTGTTTTCCACAGTGACTGCACCAAACTGCATTTGCAGTGTAGGAGGGTTCCCTAAAAGGCATCGTTTTGAATGATCCAGATGTTCTTGTTGAAAATCAGAACAGCTGAACGTTGATGCAGCTTGGTGATATACAAGAGTGAAGACTTGGGGAAATAAAGATGTTTCAGATTTCTGCACGTTAACATGGAAACCCTTCAGGTTTTTATATATGAACTTCTTAGATAATATGCTGATAGCAGCTTGGTCCACAAAGGCCTGGCTCCACAAGGGCAAAGGCAAACACAAATAATGTGTGTCCTGTTTGGCACTCTGTGCCCATGGCCTGGCACAGGAGGAACTGCCACACTGTAGGCGCTCAGGAGATGTGGGACAGATCCGTGCGTTCAGAGTTAATATCACTATGTATGTGAATCATGTGGTGGAGGAGTAATATGCTTGTTTTTCTCTCTCTTTTACAGTTGTCACATTTAAAAGTTCTGAATCACTCCCCAATGTCTGATGCTTCTGTCAATTTTGACTACAAATCCCCCTCCCCATTTGACCACAGCACTGACCAGGAAGAGAAAATTGAAGATGCTGCCAGTCACTGTCTGCCCCAGAAGGACCTGTACGCTGCTGAAGAGGACGCCGAGACCCCTTTGCCCAGGAAAACAACATCCCATAATGGGACGGAGGACAGTGGAGGAGGAGGCACTGGCGTGAAGAAGAAACGGAAGAAAAAGGATCCAGGAGAGCAAGAGGGGGCAGCAAAGGGAAGCAAGGACAGGGAGCCCAAGCCAAAGAGGAAGCGAGAACCTAGAGAGCCAAAGGAGCCCAGGAAGGCCAAGGAGCCCAAGAGGGCCAAGGAGCCCAAGGAGCCCAAGGAGCCCAAGCCGAAGGACGGGGCCAGGAAGGCACGGAAGCCCCGGGAGGCCTCGGGCGCCAGGGAGGCCAAAGAGAAACGGAGCAGCACCGACCCTGCAGCCAGGGCCAAGTCCAGGAAGGCCAGGTGTGTCCCTTTCTTCCCGCCCGTGCCCTGGGCCCTGCCTCCATGGAGCACTTGGTCTTTGGCCTTACCCCAGCCCCTGCATATGACTGCCCCACTTTCAGCCAAAATAAACCATTTCTCGCCTCCTGATGAGAGAAAGATAGGCTTAGTTAATACTGTCCCTGTAGTTTCTTGACATTCCCTTTGGATTAAAAATAATTAAAATATGCTAGCACGCACAGGGTATAAGGGCAGGGCCGTCACAGGTGTGATATTGGGGGGCAGTGATTTGGGGAACAGCAGCAGTGTAGAGTGGCAGAGGAGCAGCTGTCAGGAGGGTGCACAGCCCTGGGGATCAGTGCTGGGGGTCTGGGCGAGCCATGACTGTGCAGAGTTCCAGACGTAAAAGAATTGCCTGGCTTCCCTAGGCTACGAGCTCTCTAGTGCAGGCCCTTTTCTGGTCTGTTTCTCTCATTTGATGTCCAACATAGTGCCTGATGCATCAGCAGGTGCTCAGGAATTGGTAAGTAAAGGAGACCAGAGGAGATAGACTGAAGTGACTTGACCAGAGAGCACAGGGCACAGGGATGGGTTTGCTGCAGGGGTGATGTGGGGCGTCCTGGCAATAGATCCCATCAAGATCAAAACACACTGCTTATTCAGGGAGTTCAGTGTTTGTCAACTGTACACAACTGTAATGCTTTTTGTTTTGTCTCTTTCTAAATTCTTGATGCAGAACATGATGTTTAAGCTATTTGAGGACATGCAAAACAAAAAATACATTTAAGGGGAATTTAAGTTTCTGAAATCTAAGTACAGAGGCAGAGTGTAGACCAGAAGCACCCATAAAGAGGTAGAGGTTGATGTGAATGCTAACAGAATAGAAAGTAACGGGGCCTTCAGACCTGTATGGGGTCAGGCAGAGAGGAAGTAAGTTTTAAAGAGAGAAAGTGTTTGAGGTGGCGTGTGCCGCTACTCAGAGTTTACTAGATGGGTCAGTTCATTTTCAGAAGGACAGTTTGCTGGGACCAGATGGATACGTTTCTAATCCAAGTTAAAACTGCTTTGTAATATTCACTCCCTTCTTTCTGGCAGGGGATTTTACCTTTGTTTATCATAGAGGCTTGGGTGGGATCCCAGAAGTATAGTTCACAGAGAATGGCCATAAAATACTTCACCAGGCCGAGAAGTGGGTAAACTCAGGAGTCTGACCAGTGAGCAACTTGTGGGCTCTGTTTCTCAGTGAACCCAGTGCATACGCTCTGATCTCTGATATGTGTGGAGTGACAGACTTGAGTTTCTGTCTTCTGCCAATAACTTTCATCTCCAGATTACTTTGGAGAAGCTGAAATGGTTCTTGAGGGAGAATCAGACGTGAGCTGGTGGAGTGACTTACTTTGGTTATTACAAGAAACAAAGATCCTCAAGAAAGGTGTTTTAGAATTAGGGCAATTAGTAGAGAGTCGGACAGCTCTGATAAGGAGTTTGGTCTGTGTGTAGAAGGCAGTAGAAAGTCATAGGTATCTGAGCTCACTTTAGCCATTGGTCTGTGGTGCTTACAATTTTATCAGCTTCTTAAAGGAATTTGTTTTTACCTTGTGTGGAATATGAAATAAGGTGATCGGTATACAGACATTGCCATTGATTCCATTTTAGGGCAGTGAGGAGGCATTTCACAAAACAAGGTTGTGTGTCAGATATATATGTAGCAATAATAAGGGAGCTGATTTTGACCTAATTAGGCTGTACAAAATATAAGTGAGTTGAAGAAGTGCTTCTAAGTCTGCTAACTTAGGGGAGGCTATAGCTCAGTGGTAGAGGGCATGCTTAGCATGCATGAGGTCATGGGTTCAATCCTCAGTACCTCCATTAAATAAAAAATAATGACAATAAATAAATAAACCCAGCAAAAAAAAGAAAACAAAAACTAAGTCTGCTAACTTAGAAGACAGCAGACCCTCTTGAGATTTAGAAATCAGGAGACACCCTCTGAGAGCATGCTGGCAGATGGGGCTGGTTATCTGTCTGAAAATGCTTTCAGCCTCCCTCAATTTGAGGGCTGTGTAGGATTGACCTGTTAACATAATGGAATTCTTCTGTGTAGCCCAGATAGGGTTCTGGACTGGTGAGCCTTTCGTTTCTAGTATTTTATATATTTATAATACTGCTTTGGCTCCTTTAATTTATGATCTCACTGGTCAGCAGAAGCAGTTCCAGTTCTGAAAGGACATTAATTGGTAAAAAATATGTTGGTAATTAAGTCTTGTTTTTGTGCTCTCTGATTTACTCTCTTGCAGATTAGCTCAAGTACATGTTTTGATTTGAGCCTTTATCGATTAGCCCCTGGATAACACTCGTGGTTACAGATGATTCACTGGATGCTTGGATTGTTGGAGGAGCCTCACAGCTGATTTAGGGGCTTCCCGTCTTTTCCTGCTTCAGTCCCTCTTGCCAGCTGCCACCTGGCTAATCTTTTTGAAGCCCTGCTGTTATCTTATTTATGTTTGTGATTGTTGTTGGTGGTCAGTCAAACCCCCTCTTCTACTCTCTCCATTCCAAACCAGCTGGGAAAAAATAGTCAACAGAGATGGAGATGCAATTATCAGCTTTATTATTGATAAACTAGATTGAAGAACTTCCACTGGCTTGCACCCCGAATCCAGCTTCAGTTAGTCCCTCAGTTGAGTTTATCCCCCAGAACTGCAAGCATGTCCCTGAAGCAAAGAGTGGACTCTGGGCCATGTATGCTCCATTCCTTTTCCCAGTCTCACCAGTCCCGCAGGTCCTCAGTCAGAGAAGTGAGAGGAATTAGAAGAAGGGCTGAAAATATGTTTCCAATATTGTTCCCTCCTTGGGAGTAAAACCTGGTTTTTCTCTTGAAAACATGGGGACAGGGAAATGGGGTTCTCTCTAACAATTTATACCTGCGTAGAAACGTCTGATTGTTGCTCCTGCCTCCAGGACAAAATCTAGGCTCCTTTTTTTTTGCCTGTTGTTCAAACCGTTGGTGGTCTGACATCTCTCTGCCTCCTGGTCTTGCCAGCTAGGTTGATCTCATGAGGCCTTAAGTAAGGTACCTGCCGCGTTCGTTCCTCCTTTGGATTGCTCCTGCTGTTTCTCCAGCACTATGCCACTTGTCCTTCTCTCTGTAGCCCACGTCCTTCCCATTCTTCAGCTCTGAGTGCAAGTCTCAGTTCCTCCACAGAGCTTCCCCTTCAAGGTGCCAGTATGTTTCCTCTGAACTTCCCTAGCACCTGACGCCTCACTCGCATCATAAATCAAAAGACTTTTAGACCTTGAAGAGTAAGCAAGATCTAGTCCAACCCTGCCACATTGCAGCCAGGGAAACAGAGCCCCACAGGGGAATAACTTGTTTACAAGGGTGTGCCATAAACTCAGACCTCCTGACTCCCGGTCTTGTACGTTAACCTCTGCAGTAGGCTGCTTCTCAATCATAAACCAGTATTTTCATCTATGTATGACCTGTCTCCTCAGCACAAATAAGTGCCTGAGGTCAGGACCAGTGTGCTTTGTATCTTTTATGTCCTGGGGTCAGTTACCAGAGAGGTTTGTCAGGTTGTTGGACACATAGAAGGGGTATGTGTGTGTAATTTATATATTTTTAGATAGATAGATAGATTTCCTAGAACAAGTGAATAGAGCTCTTCTCTCTGAAAACAAGATCCATATAAGACATCACACAGTAACTCCTATTGTTAAATAACAGTAGATGGTTATAATTAAATACTTTATTCTTACAAATTTTATAACTTTAGAAATGAAAACATCAAGGTAACTTGTCTGAGGCACCAAGCTAATGAGCAACACTGTCAGAATTTGACTCCAGGCTCACCTGACTGTAAAACCCCCTTATTTCTTCCATGGCTTCGTACCTCTTTATGCCTTGCAGGGAAGGTCAGGAATGGAAAATGGTGGGGAGATTCCAGATTTGGAGAAATTGGTCTCTCACTGGTAGGAAACAGCCCGTCTTCTACAGAAGTTCAGTTTACACACTCCATTAGATCCTCTCAAGGACTAAGATGGCCCCAACTTTTTCCTATGCTGTTTCTCTTTGCATTTGAGTCAGCAGTAGATAACTGAGCACAGCTCTAAACAAGTGGTAGAGGCTAGCAAATCTTCCCTTTCCAGGATGATGTTTATAGTGATGAATAGTGACTTACTGCTTAGGGGATAAAAGTTCAAAACATTCAAGTAGGAGAAGCCTTTAAAAAAAAACAAAAACTATCCTCTCTTCCTTTCCCTCCAAACTATCTTGCAATGTGAGCTTAGTTCACTCCTTCATTGTTTCAAACTCAAGCAAGAAGGCTCCTCCAAGAAGCCAAGTTAGGCCTTCTGTCATTTCCCTGACTCTGAAATTTAAATCCGCTTAGTGCAGTTTATTTGCTTTTACTGTTTTCTAATTATACTGCCTCTTTCCTGAAGGGGATGGGGCCACTGGCATAGGAAGACATACAGAGGTACATGTACACATACAGACAGACGCGCAGACCTGCGTAGCTGCAGTGAGGGGCTCAGAGAGGTAGGCAGGTGTCAGGTTTGTGGGGTCATGTAATGTTGATGAAGACTTTGGGAAAATGCTTTGACACTAGAAGAGCACTGTGCCAGTTCCTCAGGGGTGCCAGATTTTTACCAGTTGAGAAAGAAATTTCTCACTGGGGAACATTACATGACATAATGGATACTGTCCTTGACAAATTCTTTTGCATCGAATGCTTCTAATGTGCCTGTGAATTTCATATTTCTTTCTTGACATAGCCTTCAGTAAAAGTCAGCTTCCCGGCATTAAAGCACGGTTTGGTGACAGGAAAGACAGGCCATGCCAGCGGGTATGAGCCCGTCAGGTGCTCTAACTCGGTATCCAAGGAGTACGTGAGGGGTAGGTTAATCGCCCTTTAAGGTTGCCCTCTCTCAAACCGGGAGCTACGCATTTTGACTGAGCTTTTGTGAGCCAGGATCTTGAGTGTTGATGTTCATGTTGTTGGTTGAGGGCAGAGCATGAG